GAAACTACTCTACTAGCATTCTCACCTGAATTTATTCTTGAGTTGTATAACACGGCACTGGAGGACTTTTTGCTAGCTTGCTTAAGGTACCATTGTTTGGGGTTTTTCTCTGCTTTGTAAAACAGTCTAAGTAGCTTAACAGCAGCTTTTCAAACTGTGGGGCAAACTCAAATCCTTTGGGCTTTTTGAAAAAACCCTACCCCCAAGAGCCCTTAACAAGTTCATTTGAGTAGACAGATTTTGAGTTAACCCACTTAATTTGGCTGCTCAGAAGCTTTGGTGCTTTAGCTCCTGTGGAAGTGCCAGGCCATGCATACCAAGTGTTCCAGAGATGATGTCCATCTTGTGCATGACTCCATCCCGGTCTCCTATGCCACCACCTCGAGCTCCATACAGCCCCACAGCGTGCACTTCATCCACGAAAGTGATGGCCCCGTGCTCGTGGGCCACATCACACAGCTCTTCCAGAGGACAGACTGCACCTAGGAACCAAAGCAGCAACTGGCAGTTTAGGATTCCCTGTATGCAGCTTGGACAAGCACCAGAACTACCCCTAAACAACCCTTGTAGCACTGTACACTTTTAGACCTAAAATACAGATGATTGGAAGATGAACTGGAAGGAGAGAGGAAGCTTTCATGTCAACTTACCATCCATCGAGTGAACAGTTTCAAATGCAACAATTTTAGGGGTGGATGGATCAGATTTCTTCAATAGTTCTCGAAGATGGTTGACATCGTTATGGCGAAATATATGTTTTGGCACCCTGCTGTTACGGATCCCCTGGATCATGGAGGCATGGTTTCCAGAGTCAGAGTAGATCTCACAGCCTGAGGAAACAGCCCAGTTACACTTTTCAGTATATAGAAAAGAGTACCTGATTCCCAGCATTGTTTTATGTATGTGAGGCGTTCAGGGTAGCACGTTCTTGGGAGTAATGCTCTCCATCAAAAGAGCAAGCTACAGATCATGAAGCAAGAATAATATTTAAGGTTTATTTCAGGTGTTCAAACTAAGATAAATTAGAGCTTAAGGAAATACAGATTTTCAAGTCCTCAATACTTTTATGTAACTCTTACAACTTCCAAATTCCTGCTGTCATATTTTCAGGTAGAGTTTAACTGCAAGAGCAGAACACTCTCTGCTTGTCTAATTCCTCCAGCAGTTCCCAGCTCCTACATGTCAATCTCAGTAGGTTGGTACTAAGATTTGTGTTGAACACAACTTGAACATGGCATTAGAAGCGGCACCCAACCATACTTTGCTGAGGGATTAGGATGAATCTTCACTTTGGACAGCTATTTGTAAAACATACTCCCGACAGCTTAGGGCAAGGCTGTGTATTTTTGGGGTAACAGAGGTGCAGTTTGAGATCTCACCTGGCAGCATTTTAGCTAGAGTGAAGAGAGTGGAGTCATTGGCTACAAAGCAAGATGAGAACAACAGTGCTGCATCTTTTCCATGAAGGTCAGCTAGTTCTTTTTCCAAGTCGACATGAAATTTACTTGTTCCTGAAATGTTTCTTGTGCCTCCTGCTCCAGCACCATGTTGTTTCAGTGTATCCCTAAAGAGGGCCCAAAAAGAGGCATTAGCATTGCTCTGTGACACAGAGAGGAATAAAGGATCATTGCTGAAAACATTCTAGTACATAATCAGGGTTATACTGAAAAGGAACTGGGTACAAAAAGCACTGTTAGGTCTTTGAGCAACTTGCACAACTCAGGAATCCGTTAAGGTAAGAAATGAGTGCCCAAGTACTGCTGCAATATACAGTCCAGCTTATCTGGTAACGTTTGGGGGCTTCTAAGGAAAATCCAAGGAGCAGAATCAGTGACCAACGGGTACAATGCAGCCCTGGAGCTAAACACTAAGTTACCTATCCCAGCTCAAGAGAAGAGTGCATGCTTAACTGCATACCAAGAATCATACCAGAAGCAGCTTATGTAGCACGGTACAGAAATCAGCTCTTCAGAAGCTTTCCTGCAAAAGCTTCTGCAGGGCCATATAGCTTGAAACTGCCTCTTAAAAACACGGCACTACTCACATAACTGCTCCACAGACACGAGGGTGACGGCTCATGCCCAGGTAATCATTGCTGCACCAGACAGACACCTCTTTCTTGGTGATCAGGGAGTCAGTGTAGTCATCTGCCATGGGGAAGATCTGCGCCTTCCGGTTCACGGTTTTGAACACTCGGTAGGTGTGATCCTTCTTCTTCTCATCTATCTTCTTCTCAAAGAACTGATCGTACTGGAAGGTGGACACAGCTGAAAGGAGACAGAGACTTCTTAAGCACACAGGAAATAATCACAACGGACCAGGCCCTGTGGGGGTTTTGCCCGACATTCTTACATTTTGGCAAGTTATCCTGAAGCAGGTGAGAGACACTTTCTGGTCTTTGCTTCAGCATAATATCCTTAAACTTCTTGAGCAAGCCACTCTGCTCTTCTCCCTCAGTCTCAATGCTCCTCACTGGGGAAGTAGTTGGTATTTTGGCAAATTCTGTACCTACAGACATTGTAATAAATTCCAGTGAGCTTAACTGTTTTGAGACAAAATGAAGTAAGTTGAGTTCAGCAAAGCAAACATTTTTAAGTAAGCCTAACTCTTCAATCTTTAGGAAGCACATGCCTAAAACCAGAGGCCTCTGTTAGGATCAACTACTTTATTTGCTTACAAATTTGCACTGGATGAGACAAGAGGATTAGCCTTGCTAATCAATCAAAATACAACATGTAATTTCCTTATAACACATTTGGCTCATCATGACTCAGAAAACCACTGTACATGGCTATAGCATTTATCTGAAAGGGTTGGTACACACCTAACTGAAGGAAGAGTTCTAGTCAACTCCTTCCTTTCTGTTAGCACAGATTTATTTTTTTTTCTAGTGCCACAGAAAGCAAACAGTAAAGTAAAATAAGCTTCCTGAGACAGGCAGCAAGGCCTTACTGATACTGCTGAAAAGTTCCTTCCTTTGAAGGACAGCCCTTCCGCATCAAGACTGCAAGCCAGCCGACACCCTTTAGTTCCATAAACACAAAAAACCCACCCCAAAACCATCTGCTTGGATTTGTGCTGGTACTTGTCTGATGTCTCGACACAGTTTCTTCCATCTTTGGATATAAAACCTTTGTCTATACCAGTTCTCTCCAGATCTAAGCATCTGCTTTGGGTGCGAGCGCATCAGCTTGATTCACACATCCAGAGCCAGCCAGCACGTCAAAATACATCACACGGTATTCCCACAACAAAATCAACCAGGGAAACCCTGCACACAAGCTCTTTTACCTTCAGTCTCCCATAGTCCTACCTGCACTGTGACAGCGGTGACTGTCAGGCCTGGCAGAGTCCAGAGCCAAGTCAGGCACCAGAAGCTCTGGGAAGGAATCACGGCTTCAGCACACGGAATACGTACCTTTCCTGTCCGCCTGCATTTCCTGCACATCCTCCTGGAGTTCCAGGCTGGCTTTGCAGAAAACGTTGCTGTTCTTGTGATTCATCTGAGCTGCCAGGAATGGGCATTTGGTAGCAGAGGTCTGGCTAGCACTGGTAGAGGGGTGGCCAGTAGGAGGCTGGGCTCCATCTCTATTCTGCTGGGCCACTTCTTTGGCATTTTTGGCCTCTGAGGTGGGAGTAGAGAAGGGAAAACACTTCAGCTTCATCATTTTAATACACCCCGACTTAAGCTTTTCTGTCCATCACCTTTGCAACTAACTTGTCACGACCCATTCACAGCTATTTAACCAAGCATTTACATTTTATTTATACAAGCACAAAATCCCCGTAACACCCAAGGGACATCTGATTTAAGACACTAGATCTAGCACTGTACCCTTTGAGAGGAGAAAAATAAATCTCTTTCGCTCCCAGGGGGAAGATTTAAGGAAAAGACTTAAAGGAAAGACTGGACATAGCACCTAGTGCCCTGGTAGCATTCAGTCATAGGTTGGATTCGATCTCAGAGGGCTTTTCCAGCCTAACTGATAGTGACTTCTCTTTCGAGGAGTTCAGATCCATGCAGCTCCCTCTGCCGCAAGACCCAGTTCCTCCTGAGCGCCAGGGAAAGAACCCCCCAAGGAATGTTCCCGGGTGGGGTGAAGCACCACTGAAGCGTGAGAAACACGGCTGCGAGACAGAGGATCCCGGATCCCCAGCCGGGACGCCCGAACAGGCCAGGGTCTGATTTATGCCACAAATTCAATTAACCGCGGGCATTTAAAGGATTAAGCAACCCCTGCCTCAGCGCTGCCTATTCCAGAAGTTTCCCCCACCCCACCCCGTGCCACACCACGGCGGGGTTATTCTTTTTCCCCCTGGCGGGGGGGTGCCCTCGGGGCGGTACTCACCGCGGCGGCCCGCGGGGGTCTCCTCCTCCGCCTGCTGCCCGCGGGCGGCGGACGTGGCGAGGGCGCGGGCGGCCGGCGGGGCCGCCTCCATCATGCGCGGGCAGTGCTGGGCGTACAGCAGCAGCGACGGCCCGGCCTTCTGCAGGAACGCCTGCGAGACGCGGGCCAGGAACGGGCAGCGCCGCACCACCGCCTCCATTCTCGCTGCTGCCGGAGGTGACGGCGACAGGGACAGGGCACAGGGACACGGCGCGGCGGGGACGCGACACCGGGCGGGGCTCCCGCAGCACCGCCTTTTATAGCCCCGGCGCAGGCGCGGTGCGGCCCCGCCGGCGCAAGCGCGGGGAGGGAGCGGGGGCGGCCCCGCGGGTCGTGCGGGGGGTGCGAGGGTGGTTTTTGGGGTGTCCGGGGGTGGCTTTGGGGGATTCCGTGGGCTTCGTGAGGCGCTGGGGGCGTCCTGAGGACGTGGAGGGACCCCCGGGGGTTTTGAGGGGCTGGGGGCTTCCTGAAGCGATGGGAGGGCCTCCCCGGGAGGGGGGGGAAGCGCTATGAGGGTGCAGGGGAGGCTGAGCCGCTCCCTCGGAGTCGTGAGGGCGCAGAGGGGGCTTGAGTGGCTGCCGGGGGTCTGCGAGGGTTGTGTGTACGCGCTGCTGGGGGTTTTCCTGGCAGCCCCAGGCTATGCAAATGCCTCTTTCCCAGAAGTTTCGGAGTCCCTCGCCCCACGGTCCGTAGGCTGAGGGGTGCGCCTGTTCAGTGGAAAAGGCGAGCTCTGAGTCAGCGGCGTGGGGAAACTCGGCGCTGCTCGGACCATCCCGGTGTTTCCTTCCTAAATGTGCCTCTGTGTCCCTGCGGAGTCCGTGCTAGGGGGCTCGGGGTGCAGCAGCTGGTCTTATTGGTGGTGGTGGGATCCCGAGCCCCTCTCGCTTTGCCTAAAGCCGATGTCAATAACAGCTTTTCTCACAGGGATGCTTAGGCTTCCACCACTGCGTTTTTGCCGCGTTTCGAAGGAAAAAGAACAGCAAGAAATAAAATGGAACCCTTCACCTTCTGGTTTGCAATGGGCATTAAAGTTTAGTTGCTTAAAAGAATTATTGACAGGTGGGTAATGGTAAAAGGAGCTCTCCTTGTGTGTCTGGTCATTCAAACCACAGCACATACTGACTGCTGAAGTGTGGAAAGAATGGAGGAGGGAAAATGATGATGCTTTTTTTTTCCCCCTCATCTTGAGAAACAATTTCACGGAAGACAGGATTTGGGTAAAGAGCTGAGGGCTGTCTCGAGCACTTCGAGGCAAGAGTGGGTTTTGTAACAGGTATGAAGTTTGGAGGAGAGCTTTTTTAAACACTGCTCTTTCTCAATTCTTGCCTTGCATGCAGTCATGTTGTGTAGTTACTAGAAGGTGCTAATATAAAATGATTAGAGAAATACAAAGTCTGCGTGGGACTGTGGCTGCTGAACACAAGTTTGGATATAAAAGGCACTCGGAAAGTATTGGTCAGTATTTACATGTTGCAAACTAGTCTTTAGCCAGTTCCTCTGTCAGAGGGCAGGGGAATGACTAGCAGGGTGTTTTCATGACCCTACTCTCTTCATCACTGACTCACTTAGAGAATACTGGCTGCAGGACATTAACTTTGGGATCTGAGCAAGCTGGTCAGGAGAAAGGCACCCTCAAACACAGTCAAATGGCAGACTCGCTGAGAGCTCCAGCATGTTACCAAGCTCTGAGGTAGAAAGTGGGACAGAGTTCTGCCCTCACAGAGCCCTGAGAAAAGTAGCTGTGACTTTACAAGGCAGGGCATGGGATTTGGGTTTTAGTAAGGCTTTAGCAGGTGTGTTTTAAGCATAGTTCTCTCTTGCTTATTAGAAACTTAAGACGGTGTTATTTAACAAGTGTCGATGCTCGGATCTTAAGCAGCTCATTATTTGTCGGTGTAATGCAGAAACAGCCTCCCATCGGTGGGCATCATTAAAATAGATATATGCTAGTTTTTATTTGTTACGTAAATAAATTATTAAAGTGAGGCTGTGGCCTTTGGCCTGAGCCTGTATAGCAGTTATGATAGCAGGAGTCTAGGTCATTTGGTAATACCCAGGATAGTGTTTCAAATTATTAGTTCAGTTGCTCATGAGGAGGTTTGTTTTCTTCCCCATAACTGGCTCTTGGTTAGTGTTACATGCCTAAGTATTTTGCAAAATAATAGTTAATTAGTGCTTGAAGATTAAAGACACCTGATCTGTGTTTCAGATTACTGCTGTCCCTGTTCCCTCAAACAGTAATATTTGACTCCCTACTCTGAAGCTTTGTATCACATCAGTTACTTTAAAAATTGAGGAAACATGACATTTTACCATGTACATACCTGTCAAGCTTCCTTAGAACACAGAGTTAATTATGTGTCTGGACCTAAGGGATCACTCCTGTGCTCCTTGGGTTAATTGCAGTTTTAACAACAGAAATCAACACCTGTATGCTTGATTTATAGTATGTTGAGACTATTTTTCCTCCTCCCATTTTTTCCTTATTGTTTGTCCATGGTACTTAACTCAGAGGGAACGTGGCTTTTTGTCCTAAGAGGAACCAGAGAAAGGTATTGGGCAAATGTGCTGGCAGAGTGCTGCAACAGGCTGCAGAGCTCATCTGCCTGGACACCTGCAACAGCAGGTTTGATCCCACAAAAATCTGATAATCCTTCTTTATCCAGGTAATCTTTAGTCTGCTGTGTTGCTGGAATTCAGGAAGTTGTGGGTTTGTGTTCAGGAGTGCATGTGAAGCCTGAAACCCGAAGAGCATCTACTTTTTACACAAACATCACTCAAGGCTGGCAGCTGACACACAGCGACCTTGGCTGCGACAAGGAGATCTCCAAATGGAGCAGAACTCTCGGCTTTCCTGTCAGGCTTCCCTACAATCTCTGCCATTAATCAAACACTGCAATTGCACCTCTTTAAAGCTTGATTTTGGTGAATTTATTTAACCTTGTGCGTGACAGGAATTGCGCAGAGCCGAGGAATGACATTTACTTGACCCTCATCTTGGAGGTTTGCTGGAGGAATGTGTCCTTGTCAGTGCACAGAGCTGGCTGGGAGCTCTGGGAGCAACAGAGCAGGGAAAAGTCAGGGGAAAGGGGTGTCTTGTCAACTGCTCTGCCAGTGCCCTCCCTTTGGAAATACTTCTGGAGCTTACGTGTTGAAGGTGAAGTAAATACTAATAAAGCTGCCGTTAATTAAAATTTCTTAGGGCTTCAGTGGATTAATTAAATGGTGTTTAAGGGTGTTAATTGTGGCGATGTATTACTGCCATCCTACAGGGCTCAGGAGGAACTGGCTTGAAGTGCCATGCAAATGCAGATTGAAGTTCTCCTGGCAAACAGCAACAGTGGCAGCCAAGGGGGAACAAGGACCCCATCCTGAGGGACAGAGCAGGCTTAGGCAGCCTGTCTGGAGAGGTGGCAGGCACAGGGGGAGAGGCAGCAGCTGCCTGGGAATACGGGAAGGGCAGAGTAGCATGGAATAAAGGAGGGAAATGGTTTAAGCTGAGGGGGAGCATTGGTGTGAGGACAAATTTATTCTGTTGTCCATGACAGAGTTTTGGTCAGAAGGTGGGTACTTCCTTGCTGTACCTGTGTTTTGGAGCTGGTCCCTGAGGTGTGCACCAGATGGATTCAGCAGAGGAGGCTCGACTGCCTGAAAGGCTCACGTGCTGCAGGGGAAGGGAAGGTTGTCAGCTGCCCTGAGAGCCTCTGTGATTTGTCCATTTCTTTACTGAATAAGTTGCAAGGAGGGGGGAGAAAAAGGTTAACTTCCAGTAGTTTGGGAGGGAAGTGAGAAGTCACAGAAAGTGCTTCCCATACAGAAACTGAAATGGGGAAAAAAAAAAAAATCCCCTGTCACAGGGTCAAGTTGATTTCTGCAATGTCTGTGAAGAGTTGCTGGTGAAGACGGTCTCTTCCCACGTTACTAATTTACCATGTAGGCTCAGGTGTAAGTTACCTTCAATACTTCCCTCCCATCCCTCTTCTCTCAAGCATGTTTTGCCCGGTATTTAAAAATAGAACTTCATTCACAGGTTTGTGGTGTTCATCTGGCCTTGCATTTGTCCACAGGTGGGTCCTTTCATAGGATTTTAATGAATTTTATGCTTTGATAATGATTTTATGCATTTAGATACTTGAGCAGAAAACCGAGTCAGAGCCCCTCTGCACTCAGCCTGTCCGAATGAAAGCCTATAACTGTACTCTAATTAGCAACATCTAATCCCTTTTGCCCACTTCTGAAGTCAGAGCTGTGCATACTCCTAATTTTTTCCCATCTAGTCAGTGTCAAAGAGGGCAAGCCAGAAAAACAATTCCCCATCCCCACGCACAAGCCACCATCTATATTGAGATCCGAATTTTCTAAGGGAGTGGGTGTGATCTTAACATCTGGATTTAATCCAGACTCAAATTCCAGGCTTAGGTCTGAGAACATCCACCTCTGGTCCTGAGACCAGCAGTTCTTAGAGAGGACTTTGCTTATTTACCTTTTAAGGCAAAATTCGAGGGTTGCAGTAGTAGCTGCATAGTGACAATTCTTCCCACACTGAATTTCTGTAACACGTTTTTCTGACTTGGAGCCAGTGTCTTCTTCAGATGACAGAACAGGAAACCTCATTTCTTTCTAGGACCCACTACTCAGTAGAGTTTGACCAAGCTGGAGAAGCTGCTGAATGCAGAGGAGTTTGGTCTCTTGGCAAAGGCCCATTGCAGGGGCATGACTCAGGCTCAGTCTGGACAGCGGGAGCTGTTGCCACCCTCATACAGGGTACCCTGCCCTCCTCCTGAGGGGTACCACCCCACACCAGGGCTGCTGCAAGTCCACAGCCCAGCTGATTAATACATCCAGCAGTGGCTTATCTTAATCCCCGAGTATCTCCCTGACATCTCTCTAGTTGCTTCAGATGTGGAAAATCACACAATAGCCTTTTTTTTAATCTCACATCCTTGGGTTTGCCTTGCTTTGTGCAGGACACGGCAGGAAATGATAGACTAATCCTTCCAGCTACTGTGAGCTTTGCTGCACTTGCTGTGACTTGCATTCACACTCTCATTTCCTCCTCTCTTGCACAGTTTTCCTCCTCTTAGAAAGAACCAGTAGACCCCAACCAGTATATTTTTAGTTACAGTCATTTCAGGTATTCAGCCGTTCAATTTTTTTGCTTATCTCAGCCTTCATTTCTCCCCATTAGGTACTCAGGCAGAAACACCACCCTCTATGTCCAATTTAGGAGCTTGAACTCCCTATATAGTCAGGAGAGAAAAAATACCTTAAAAAATGTGGATCCAAGTGCTTCCTGTGTAACAGCATGGGACTATGGGGAAAGGACTTGGCTCTTTAGTCAGAGCTCTATAGGTATCTGTAACTAAGGTTTCCAGAAAGTATTTAAGTAGGCAGCCTGCTCCTTTCTATATAGCAAGGACAGCTAACAGAGGAGAGAAGTAGATGTCTCCTCTTTGTCTGAATTTCAACACTTCAGGCCCAGAGAGACACTTTAAGTCCTGCTTATGTAGTAAAGCATTTTTACTACACCAGGTATCTGTAGTGAGCCCCTACTGCTGCTCATATCTGTGTTACTCTGGGCATTGGCATGAAAGTGAAAGTTAACGTAGAGATGGAATTGTCAAAGTCGTTGAAAACAAGAAATCAACTCACTGGAGTGAAAAAATGCTGTGCTGGAGCCTGTGTGCATCTGTCTTAAAGCAATGGCAGAGTTAGGAGTTTTCTGTTGAGCAGCAGATTGCTGGAAATCAAGGGCATACCTTGTTCTCTGCTGGTTTTGGATGTGATAGAGTTAGATCCCTTCATAGCAGCTTGTATGGGGCTGTGCTTTGGATTTGTGATGAAAACAGTGATGATAGCACAGGGATGTTTTCATCATTGCTGAACAGTGCTTGTGCAGTGTCAAGGGCTTTTCTGTTTCTCACACTGCCCTGCCAGCAAGTAGGCTGAGGGTGCACAAGAAGTTGGAAGGAGATGACCCCAACTGAGCAAAGGGATGTTCCACAGCATATGACATCAAGTTGAGCAATAAAACTGTGAGGATGGAGATTGGCTGGGGCTTCCATAGCTCATGTACTGGCTGGGCATTGGTCAGTTCATGATGAGCAATTGTTTTCTTTTGCATCACTTGTTTTTCTGGGGTTTTGTTTGCTGTTTTTCAGTTTTGTTTGGCTTTTTGTATGCTTTCTCCTTGTTGCTTTTGTCCTCTTTTTTGATTATTAAACCGTCTTTATGTCAAACCACAAGTTTTTACACTTTTACCCTTCTGATTATCTCTCCCATCCTACAGCAGGGGAGCGAGTGAGGGGCTGTGTGGGGATTTGCTGCCTACTGGAATTAAACTGTGATTGGAAAGTCATCTCTCTAATTGTGTACCTGTCACATGGGCCCACCATGGGCACCTGATGAGGCAGTAGCATATTAAAAGTGCCCTCACTCCTCCCCAGTTACCCCAATTTGACACAGTAAGTTAAATCTTTTGTATAAATTGATGTAGTTTTGTGTGCCAAAATGGAGGTTCTCTGACTAGGCAGTTTTTAATCAGTGCTGTTTCCTGCAGCTGTACATGCTGCCTTTCTGTTCCCAAGTGTAGCAGTACAACTAAGATTGCCTTTTCAGCTTGGAAATAGGGATAAAAGCATCCAATGAAATCCTAACAACCTCTGATGTCTTTTAGGTGAGTGAAATGATGTGATTTTAAGGATGTTGCCTTAAAATGTCTGTTGTAGGCACAGTACACCTACTAGTAAGGCTGGTTACTGTGGTTTGTTTCAGCAAAGGCTTATTCTTCTTTTATTCATCTGGTAATGTAATTTCTTCTGCAAGGATCCATAATTCAGTTAAGTAAGGAGAAGGAGAAGCATTTCATAATGAAATACCTGCTGGTGATGTGAGAAGGTGGGGGAAAATCCCCTCCTGACTAGACCCATGGGCGTTCCCATGTGGGTGTTATCCCATGAATGAGTACCCAGTGAGGCAACAGAACTCTCTTACCTGGGTGGCTTCCCCGCTCATGCATCGACTTCACAGCATTAGATATCGCTGGCCTTGAGACAGTTTTAAGAATTGTCTTGGAGAAAGCAAGAAATAAACAGAGGAAAGTGTAAAGCAGTTCTGATCTTTCATTGTTTCCCTCAATGGTCAGGGAAACTTTATACTTTCAGAATTAGTTGTTATAGTTAGTATTAGTTGCTATAGTTGTATAATCAGAATTAGCTCCTTGACAGAAACAATCCAGAGGGATGGAAGTGGCCAAGCAGTGGAGCAGAAGGATGCCTCACATTTAAGTGGAGATGTTCCAGACATGAAAATAGCATGAAAGTGTGTGGTAACAGGGTATGAAACGTCACGGGGCCAAACCCACTCCTGTGAGTGGGAGAGTCTGTGTTAACACTACAGCCTGTGTGCACAGCAGAAAGTGGCAAGGATGAGCGTACAGCCTTCTTGGGGTCCAACTCCAAATGTTTCCACCTCCCAGTGCAAGTGTTGGTGCATTCTGCCCACGGGGTTTGCTGTGCTGTTTTGCAATAGCTCTCATTGCTTAACCTTTGAGGTGCAAGACATACTATCTCTCCTTGTGCTCCAAAGATTACAGATAAAGTTAGAGGGTGGTGATGAGAAGAGCGTCAGCAGTAGGGAAGAAAGGGCCTGTGCTGAAATATTAAGGAGGAAAATCACATCTCCAGATCTGAACTTGGGCTGCAGATCAGAGGAACTTTGTGATGTACTGAGATTATTGGAGTAGATGAGGTTTCCGTTCCTTGTTTGCCTTTTGTACTGAGCTCTTCAAAAAGCTGCCAAGTGGTCTATGTGCACTGTCTTACAAACAGCCTCAGCCATGGAAAGCTCTGGGCTCTTCTTCCAAGGCTTGTGGGCTGCTCTGCCTGCCAAGCAGCACAGGCAGTACCAGGAGGAGTGAGAGTGAGGATGCCAGGACAGCTGGGATGGGAGATTACTTGGGGCACTGTGACCCTGCTGGCAGCCTTGTCTGCATGTGGTTTATTTGACCTGATGGTTCTGTGGCTGCTTTGAGAACACCATTCCAGCTGTGCAGGCAAACCTAGTCATGTTGTGTTGGCTTGGGGTAGCAGTAATGGTTGAAAAATGTGTTGCTCTTGTATCTGCAGGAGATGTGGTGAAGAACCTGGAGCCTCTAAGGTCTTCTTTTCAGGAATCCCTCTGCTTAATCAGGGGACATGCGTGTGCTTTCTCTTGGAAATGCATGTTGTCCCAGCCCTGGGCAAAGAAAATAAAAACCAATTCCAGGGAATGTCCTAGAAAGAGATGGAAGTGCAAACACTGCATAACTAAAAAGTTGAAAGGGATCTGCTGAGAAATTAAGACTGAAATGGCAAAAATACAAACCTGGAGTTGAGTAATTTTCTTCTGTTCCCAGTTTCTCACGTCACATGGACTGTAAGAGCAAGCCGAGGGAGAGTGGAGGGTTGTTGCTGGCTTAGCACTAGTGATGGATCATATGATTGACCTGTGTGCTGTGGTTTTATAGAGAGCTCTGCTAATGTTATGGAGCTTTTATATATATTAGATAATCTTTCTCTTCAGACTTGTAAATTTCAGCCCAAAAATTCCTGCAGCCATCCCACACACTTTTAGGAAACCTAGAGTGTAGTTGTGACGGTTTAGTTTTGTACTTCCTTATCCTTATTTTTAAAGACCTCTAGTCTTGACAAGTCTCTGCT